AAGCAGGAGAAGGAGAGGGAGAAGCAGGCTTCCCGTCGAGCGGGGAGCCCGACGCGGGGCTCGATCCCAGGACCCCGGGACCATGACCTGAGCCGAAGGCAGATGCTCAACGACTGAGCCACCCAGGTGCCCCGGCCATATTGTTTTTTGACTCCTTAGGTGAGACAGGAAGGTGAGAAGGAGCTGATGCTGGGTATTTCCCTCCCACAGGCCAGTTAGTATCTGGTAAAACAATTTCCCTTGAAGGCAGGGCCATTGTTAAGGAGAACAGAACACTGTGGGCATATTTCAGAATGGCTACTCTCCCTTCCCCCTGACAAAAGCATGAGGGGATTTTTCTTTGATCTTCACTCTGAGAGCCTGGTGGGCTTCCTGGCAGAAAAACTCAGGAAAGTGTAGGGGCTCCTCTAGGAGTTTTAATCTCTCAAAATAGTCCAAACTCAGTCTCAAGCAACTAGTCAGTTGCCTCTGAAGGATTCCTGCCTGATGTTGGCTCTAGCTGAGGTGTGATTCTGTGAATCTACCTGTCTGTCCCATTTTCAGGGCATCAGTTTGCCCCGTGACCTCAATTCTCTGGTATGTGTGTGTGTTTTATCTGCAGCATTATTGGGAGTTTATGTGCTGTGATCTAATCTAAGAGTTGTTCTCCCTTCATTGGCAGCTTTCAGACCACTTTTATGTGAGATATATTCGTTCTTTGTGATATCACCATACTTGGGTTGCTTTCTGTTTTTGTTGCTTTTTAAAATTTAAAGATTTTGCTTTCGCTATATGGTTTGTATTTTTTTTTTTTTTGCTTTGTTAAAGCTCATATATTAACTAGGGCATAAGCATATTTAAAAATACCATTCTAATAAGTGAAAAGATAAAATATGGAGAAGATTTTTACAACACACAAAAAAGCCTAACTAATATAGAAGGAATCTTGTAAATCAGTAAGAAAAGGCCAGTGAGAGAGGTGAAAATGGGCAAGAGATATAAACAGATAGTTTACAGAAAATAAATACAAAGGCTCTTAGCATAAAAGATCCTCAATTCACTCAGCAAAAGCAATGAAAGTAAAAACCTAATCAGAGACTTCAATTTTTATCTCTCAGAATGGCAGAGATCAAAGTGTCTGTCAACGTGCTGTGCTGGACAGACTGTGGGGAAACAATCATTCTTACTGTGCTAATCTGAGTCTTCTGAGGAGCAGATATCAGAACAGGATAAAAGCACAAGAATCTGTGTCCAGGGAAATGCCTACAAGAGGAGATGGGGAAGGGGCTTGGTTAAGTGGGGAGAGCTGTCAGACCACAGTACTAGTGTGACCCTAAGCAAAGGAGAGGGGGACAAAGCCTGGCTGGACGTGCTTTAGGCTGCCATGCAGTCTCAGGAGGCTTCAGCAAGGCCACAAGGGCATCTGGAATCCAGGATGGCCCGCAGCAGAGCCTGCATCTTCCAGGAATGGACCTGCTTGGTGTCCCTCTGTGCTCACACAGACTCTCTCCTTCACCAAACTCCCCTTGGGCTCCCCTGAGCTCCTTCTTTAACTAGGCCTGACTTTTGGACTTCTGTGTTCACCTCTGCAGTGTCCAGTTTTAGAAGAATTCTGGTAAGTCAGTTTATCCAGATCCCCCTCCCTCTGATAGCTGATCATCCTCCATATCTGATTGGGGACCCCACCCAGATGATGTCTGATCGCCCTGTCTTCAGCAAAACAAAGGAGGAGTCTAGGAGAGTGGAAGGTGCTGTAACCCAGAAAGAGGAGCTCCAACTCCAGAGAGGGATACAAGGTTATTCCAGGATGACAGTGGATAGGAATGCCAGGCAACAGCTGCACAGTACCCTGACAGCAAGCCTGCTGACCCGAGTGGGTCAGAAGGCTCCAGAAGATGAGCCTGATGAATACCTGAGGTGACATTAGATTTATTTTCACTGGAGGAATGCTTAGGGATTAAACTGATGTAAGTACACGGAAAACCAGGCAAGCCAACAGCAAACAAAAATCAACAACCGTCATACACGACATGCTTCAGCCACACAGAACCTTCACTTAGCCATGTTAAAAAAAAAAGCAAATAAACCTGGAGGCCACCATTTGACTATGTCACCAAACACTCACAGTCACATAACTGAAATGCTGACTCCAACCTTAAAATTAAGCTTTCCCATGTCAGTGTGACTTTTCAGCATGAACAGGTAATGAATGTACGTCTCCCGTAACAAATCACACTAGAAAACAGTGCGCTTATTCCTGCTTCGTACGCGGAGCTGTGACTGCTGAGGTCTGGACTTTCCGACCACTGTTCTCCCAACTGTTCCTCAGTGGATAAAACACTCACATCAAGTAAAGCCCTTTGGATTTTCTTTTGGTGGTCTTAATAATGCAAACGCTGGATCTTGATCAAACTAAAGCGGCACAGTCAGTATGATAACTGAATCAGGACCATGGTGAGGAAGAAGACAGGAGCGTCAATGACGGGAGATTGCTCACCTACCGAGGGGCCGGTCCACAGATAATGCCTAACACAGGAAAACCAAGAAGTGTGAGCATGAGCCTGCTCCGTGGAGACGGGGAAGGAAGGAAAGAGAGTTGGAGGTGGCTGTCCCTAGGGAGGGCTGGTTGTGCAAAGGAAATGAGCGGCAGAAAACTGCTTATCTTTCTACATAAACATATCTTTTCTTTATAAGATGATGAGATCACCACAACCCAGCACTTTTTACTCCATGAGTTGATTACAACGAAACACAGTGCTAACCCAAGCGAATCACTCTCCTTAGGTCTCTGCTCATGTTCACTCCTCTGTTCCTTTTAACCTGCTGTTATTTGAGTCTCTCCTGCTTTATACCACACTGTTTCTAAAGACCATCTGGAATACTGTTTGAGAGCAGGCAAGCTGCATTTGGATCCCACATGTTCATACAGTGAGCTGCTCCATTAGCTAACCGGGTTCAAGTCGGTCTGCACAGCACATCCATGGACGCCAGCGGCGCTGCCGCTGACTAGCTGCGTGCTGGGGGGCTAGTTACTGAACCTGTCTGTGAATCCGTTTCCTTGTCTGCACGGCGGGGGTGACAAATGGCACACCTCACAGGAAGTCACGCGAAGCTGATGTATATGTGCGTTAGTCTGCACTAGGTAAGCATGATGCTCTTGCTCTGAATGGTCAGGGGAAGGCTTTGGGCACCGTGGAGCAGTGGAAACCCCGGTCTGACTTGGAACAACTCCCCTTCTGGCGACGTGATTCTGGATGAGCGTCCCCATCCCACTGTCCCCGCCCGCCCCCAGGTCTCCCTGCTTCTTTACCAGGGGATCCTGCTCAGTTTTCGAGCTGAATCCCCACCTTGTCTCATCCATGGACCTCACTGACAATCCCATTCAAGGGTACACTCACCTCTCAAACTCCATGGCCCCACACAAAATTACCATGTGGCATTCACCACAGATGCTGGAAAATCTGTTTGCTTTCTCCAGGTGTTACAGTTCTTGGTGGCGAAGGGAATAATGTGACCACCCCGGAGACATATGACAGTGCCCAGAGACATGTGTGGTTGTCATAGCTGGACGGGGTGGCCCGCAGTATCCAGCGGGAGGACGCCGGGATGCTGCTACCCCCACACTGTCCAGCATCCCCTCACGACACAGAGTCGCTGGCCTGCAGTGTCAGCGGGGCTGAGGTGGGGGACCCTGAAGTGTGGACGCAAGCTCCTACAGCAGCAGAGCCACGTTTCTTGGAATTACCGGCCCACCGAGTGCCCCACCCAGGGGTGCGTGCAGAGGAATGTCTACCCAGAAACTCCCTGGCTGAGTGAAGTAGGCCTTTGGTAAGCGATGGACCCGCAGAAGGGAGTGTGGTTTCCACTCACCTCCCAGTACGGACCGGGGATGAGCTGGGACCAGGCAAGGAGGGGAAGCTGAGCCCAGCGCAGCTCACGCCCCAGTGTGCCACACACTCCTTGGGAGGACAAGGACGGTGGCAGCGAGGGACGGGTAGCGAGGGCTGAGGGCTACCGTGGTGATCCAGCCGACGAGAAAGGAAGGTGCACCCAGTTTGGGGAAAAGGGGTGCATCACAGGGAAAGACTTCCTCCCCAGTGCTGGGAACAGCCGGCGCTCGGTCTCCTTTGTAGTAATTACTGTATGGCCTAAGCATCCTCAGGCCAGGTGGTACGGATTGAACTATGGTCTCTCAAAATCCGTATGCTGATGTCCTAACACCTAGATCCCTGGAACGTGACCTTATTTGGAGGCAGGGCCTTTAAAGAGGTGACTAAGTGAAAATGAGGTCCTTAAGGTCGGCTCTAATCCCTATGACTGGTGGCCTTTTTAAAGGGGGAATTAGGACACAGACACGTGCAGAGGGAAGACCACGTGAGCACACAGGCAGCCAGCCTGGGACCGACTCTCCCTCACCGCCCTCAGAGGGAAGCAACCCCACCCAACCTTGACCTTGGGCGGCCAGCCTCCAGACCCACCGAGAGAATGAATGTTGTTTGAGCATCCGGTCTGTGGCGCTTTGGTGTGGCCACCCAAGCAAGTGCAAACACTAGGCCAGGGCAGTCCCAGGTGCCGGGATTTATTTAGGCTATCGTGGGTCAGCCAGTCACACAGACCTGGAACAAGGAGGTGCGGGCTGCCGAGAGAAAGAGCCCCTGCTTTACTCCTTGATGGTGAGACTCATACAATAAAATGGAAGCGATCCTGTGTCTGCTGAATTTTGGTGTTTCTGTGACTTGGAAGGGTCAGGACACACGTTCAAAGCAAAGCACAACGTATTTGTTTCTCCTGCAGTCAAAGGAAAGTTCCACGCAGGGACACACCCAGCCCCGGGCGGCAGCTTGTCCTCCCCAGGGAAGGCCTAGGGAGCATGCTCAGTCCCCCTCGAGGCTCCCGGCCTTTGCCCGGGATCAGGGCCATGCCTCTCCCTCCCGAGGGCAGACGTAGTGGCTGGCCCACCCCGGAGTAGGGAAAGAATCGAGTGGGACAGCTATGTTTTCTTCTTCAACATGGGTACTCACAGCTCATCTTCAAAGCAGATTTTGGCATACTTGTCCTTGCCGCCCCCGCTGAGCAAGCGGTAGGCATAGGTGTTCAAGGGGCACGGGGTCCAGTGGTCACATTTCTGCCTTTTAGGGGCTGGGGCTGCAGCAAACAAGAACGGAGGAGTCAGCATCATGCAAGGACTTATCAGAGGAACCCACTGCCCGAGCGTGAACGGCGGGCCTCCTATCCCGGGACTTCACGCTGGCAAGTCCCTACGGGAGGGGAGAAGGGGTCACCAACTTCTCAGCAGCAGCGTCAGAAATCCCCCTAAAGATACAGTTGATTTCATCTGCGTTTGTCTAACAATAACAAACATGCAGAAGGGAGTGGATGTGGAGTGAGCATCACAGTTTCGGAAGGGTCAGGCCCCTGACGTTCTCGGCACACAATGTGTTTTTCGTATCACAATTAAAGAGAGCTCCCTTGGGTCTGAGAGTGCTGGCGAGCAAAGAAACAGCCATGTATGGAACATCTATCCAGCTTCTGCATTTATACACCCTGAAACACGCACGTGCGCACACACACACGCCCAGACCCCACTCTGGCCATGGCGGACCCCTTTCCTTTCACTTGAGCCTGAGGCACTGGGCTCCTCTGTGGGGCGTGCAATGAGCAGGCCAGGGAGAGGGCTCCCCAGCACCCCCACACTACAGGGCTCAGCAACTGGGGAGGACTGGGGACCTGCCCGAGGCCACCCCTCCGCCTGCTGGGTGCTTTGTGGCCATCGCCACCGCGTGCGCCTCCCTGCTCACCCCAAGGTACCGGTGGCTGTCACTGACCACGGATCCCCCCACGAGGGGCTCAGTTCAGGTTTGAATCCCAAGTCCCCAGTGCAAAGACGCAGGCAGTGCTCTGGCTCGTCCCGTCTCACTGGAGACGTGGGCTGCACTTCTCTGCTGTAGGGCACACGGCTGTGAGGCACAGCTGGCTGAGTGGTGAGGCCTGGAAGGCCCTGCTGGGGGGAGTCGGGGTGCACACAGACACCGTGAAGACCCGGCGTGCTGCCCTGCTGAGCGGAGGAGGCAGAGCTTCTGGGTAGGCATGGGGAAGCCGGTGTGCACCCAGCCTCGGGGCCCCGGGTAGGGGTAGGGAACACAGAGTTCTCCAGGGAGCACGCACCCCTTCCCACCCTCCACATCACGCCCTCCTCCTCACCGGCCCCGCCCCTGAGGCTGAGCTCCTGCGCTGTCCTCTTTTCTTTTTCTTGACACTCAGTGCTCCAGTATCCTATAGTTCCCTTGCCCCACGAGGGCAGGGATGGCGGCACCAGCCCCAAGGTGGTGTGCGGTACACCCAGCTGCCCCAGTGTTTGTTGACCGACTAAGTAGATATCTGCCCCTCAGAGGAGAAATCTCCCGACGTCAGAGACTCTGAACCCTGTTCCTGTCCGGAGCCCCATGCAAAAGCCACGAGGGACGGTGAGGCTTCCTGAACACCAAAGGCTGTAGCTCTGGTCCACCTTTGCCAGTTTTTCTTCCTATTAGTCTATTTTTTTAAACAAGAAAGGCCCATGGGATTTTACTTTTCCTAATTTACTGTCTGCAGAAGAAAATTAGAAGTAATAGAAAAGCAAAATGAAGGGAAAAAATCCTACATATCTTCACTCTAAAGAATCTTAATTGTTTTACTCTTTGGCATATTTTCTTCCAGACTTTTCTATGCATACAGAGGGCATCTGCAAGGTTGGCAAACACAGATTAAACATCCTTAAGCAGTATGTTACTTACATAAATTTTCAAGTAATATATTCCCTATGTTTTTTCTCAATCTCCAGATTCCTAAATTTAAAGCAAGGGGTCCAACCATTAACATGAAAAAGTGCTATAAATACAGTATATTCTCAGTGTCTCTGGATTTGGGGCACTACAGTATTTTTAGCTTTTTATTAAAAAAATTTTTTTAAAGATTTTATTTATTTATTTATTTGAGAGAGAGAAAGCACATGAGAGGGGGGAGGGTCAGAGGGAGAAGCAGACTCCCTGCCGAGCAGGGAGCCCGATGCGGGA